TTGTATTTTTATGACTTTTTGTTGTTTTGGAAGTCATCTTATATGCATTTGGTCCTTAAAACAACTCAATGAAGTAGATAAAGTAAATTTATTTCTATTCTGCAGATGAGAAAATGGAATCTCAAACAGTTAGAAATACTTAAAATTAGGTAACTTGTTCAGGTCATATGACCAGTTAGAAGCATCACTGAGAATGGAAACTCTTTGTATTCCCAAAGTAGTAGGTTCTCCCCTTCCCCCCTAATACTTACGTACCTCCTAGACATTAGGATTAGTCTCTTAGTGGTGACTTCATTTCATTTTACAGTTTTAATTCAGGTAGTTCAGGAAATTCTGAAAAATCAGGCTAAAGTTATGATTGTTATATTGTTGTAGGTTTTTTTTTTTTTTTTTTTGTTTTTTTGAGACAGAGTCTCACTGTATTGCCTGGGCTGGCATCCTAGCTCACAACAACCTCAAACTCCTGGGCTCAAGTGATCCTTCTGCCTCAGCCGCCCGAGTAGCTGGGATTACAAGGCATGAGCCACCATGCCCGGCTAATTTTTTCTATATATTTTTAGTTGTCCGATTAATTTCTTTCTATTTTTAGTAGAGACGGGGTCTCGCTCTTGCTCAGGCTGGTCTCGAACTCCTGAGCTCAAACAATCCGCCCTCCTCCGGCCTCCCAGAGAGCTAAGATTACAGGCATGAGCCACTGCGCCCGACCTAGGTTTTTTTTTTTTTTTAAATGGAAGGTAGAAGGTGAACATGATGTACCATTGTGGTACTATTAACATTTTTAATAGATTAATAGATCGAGGTTAGTAATTAGCTTTTCTAGTTAGAGAGCTTTTAAAGAAAAATCAATAATCAGTTAAAAAAGGAAGAAGAAAAATGTTCCAGGGGATTTTGAAAATAACTTTTATTACTTGGTGCGTTGGTATTTATTCGATAATTATGCCTGCCTTTGTAATGATTCACTAAAGTCCTAAGGTGTGTCTGTGTTGATTCCTGTATGCCTTCATTCATTTAAAACATACTTGAGTGTCTACCACAGACCAGACACTGTCGTAAGTGCTGAGGATATACTGATTAAATTAAGACCAAGTCCCTGTACTGAGTAACATTTTATTGTTGTTTTGAATTAAGTTAATTATAGACTCTTCATACTAGTATGTACTCAACAGGGCTGACCCTAAACTTGGGAAATAGACGGTTGTCAAAGTGGTACAATTTGAGGGCTACTAAATGACTTACTTGCTCTAAAATGTTCCACTCCTGGCCTTCTGTCTGCTGAAGACTCCCAGTCTGTTTTGTTACAGCACTGTTACCTACCTGTTCCTGATAAATATAAGTATGTTCCATTATTTTTCACAGTTTCAGGAAACAAGACTGAGAGAAAATAAATGGAACTTTGAGTTGGGTGTGGTGGCATGTGCCTGTAGTCTGAGCAACGTGGGAAGCTGAGGTGGGAAGATCACTTTATCCTAGGAGTTTGAGGCCAGCCTGGGCAACATAGTGAGACCCTGTTTCAAAAACAAACAGACAAACAGAAAATATGGGAACTAGGACTGATAGGTTGGCGTTGTAAGAGACGAGGTTGGCAAAGTATAGTTTTAATAGCAGTTATTGTTTATTGAGCTTTTGCTGAGTGTCAGATACTATGCCAAGTAAGTACTTAATGTACTTTAGCTCAATTAATCACTGTTGTCACCTCAGTAGGGTTGGCATTGTGACTTTCATTTTACAGATTAGGAAATTGAGCCGCAGAGATGTTAAATTTGCTCATACTCACTTGGTGGTGCTAGAATTTGTATCTCTCCTAGTACGTAGCATAGCATATAGTAGGAACTAATATGGAAAGAGTGCTTATTTATAATATATAGACATCTGATGTTCTACCATTCTACCAGTGTGTGTGGCAGATCATGGAGGTGAAGGCCTTGGTAAGGGAGAAATGGGTGAGGAGAGTCAAGAGAGCTTGTTGGGTGAAGCGTGGGAATTGGAGGGGTGGGGAAAGATGGGACAGTATTGCTTGCCTGATTACTTGGCCCTCGGGCTTAATCCTCCTGTGACAGCCCTGGGGCTCCAGCGTTGCATTTAGGCACGTGTAAGTGCTTTCTTGAGCTCATGGGTTAGAGTTTAGGCAGACCTGAGGCCTTGGTTTTCCCACGCACTAACTTGGTCAAATTACTTAGTTTCTCTGGGTTTCAGTTTTCGCATTTCTAAAATGGAGGCAACAATATTACCTACCTGGTATGGTTCTTGTGAGGATTGAATTAGATAATAATATGTGTAAGGCACATATCACACTGCCTGGTACATGGTTAGTATACATTCTTACTGTTTGTGTGTGTGTGTATGTGTGTGTGTGTGTGTGTGTGTGTGTGTGTTTTGACATGTTTAATGTGGAATTTTCATTCAAAAGAAAAAAAAGCAATATTAGAGTTCTCAGTAGAATCTTCAAGTTGACCATTTTGGAGTAGTGAAATTTAGGTGTGTATCAGAATTACCTGGGGAACTAATAAAAACACACAAGTTAGGAAGTTTTGGGTGGGGCTTGAGCATTATTGGTATTTTAATAAGCTTCCTTGTTGATTTACATGTATACCAAAATTTGAGAACCACTGGTTTAAACCTTTTCTTCATCCTGTGCTTAGGGAAGGCTTCAACAAGAATAACAACAAATTGCTTGGATTAACCAGGCAGTGTATGGTAGAAGGAAGTGAAATATCAGTTACCAGAATCTCATTGACTTTTTTTTTTTTATTAAGCTTATTTGGGGCTTATAGCATTTATATTGAGATAACAGTGCTGTGTTAAATTTCACACCTAAACTAAATTACAATGACCGTTTCACCTTTTTAGCCAGCTTCATTTGGAAGTGAGTTATATTTAATTAACAGTTATACAGATAGCAAAGATATAAAAATACATGCTTATATAGATTTTAAGAACTTTAAAAAACTTTAATTGGATTTCTTTAGATGCTGTACTGTTAAATAACCAGACTTGGTATCATTAGTTTTATCAGACTAAGTCCCAACAGGAAAGAGATTTCATCCTCGATGGTTCAACTGAAGAGACTATTTGCAGAGGTTAGGGAACAAACAAGGGTGGCAAAGCATTCAAGGACTAGCAATAGTGAGAAGTCCTTAATTCTTCAGAGATTACCAGGGCAGAGGGCTGGCATTGTGGAGGAGGGCTTGAGGGAGCTGTGGTTTTGAAGCAGGTGAGGAGTGAGAGGGGGGTTCCCTGACCTCTCCTCCCCCAGCCTTCAGTGACTTCCATTGCTAGAGTCCAGCTGGGAAGCCCACGTGATGATCTTTGCAGGCTCATCCTCCCAGCTCAGGAGCAGAGCAGAGAAGGGATTGAGGGTACAGTGGAACAAATGGAGAATAACTAGGACATTAATTAGAACCTTTGGGAATTTGTAGCATTTCCTTGGTGCATTTTAGATAACTTTTAGCATTGTGATACATCTGTAGAATGCTTGGGACTACTTGTCTTATACATGCTTTTAGAAAATAGTTTATCCACTTTCTCATTTAACCAAATAATTATAATTTTTAGGAACTTTGATGATCCATATAATACAATGAGAAACATAATCTATGTCTGTTAACATAAAACACTTTTATTAATATATTGTTATACCTTGATGAGCTTTTCTGAAATTTTCTTCATTCGGTAGTTTTGGTTTGATGAAATAAATGTTTTCTCGTTAAAAATCTTTAAATGACTAAATTAAAAATATTTTGTCAAGTGTTACAGCTCTTTTAGAATTTGTCTAGCAGGTTTTCTGGTCCTTCCTGGAAGGACCACCCCCCCCCCAAAAAAGAAAAGATTTTGTCAAGAAAGGTCCTTTATCTTCCAGAATTTATACTTCCTATTCATTAGACTTCTTTGATAGCAAAAGCACCAGAACACAGTGTTGTTAATAATGGTTAATAGAAGTAAAATTGTTGTGAAATAATTGTTCTTCCTCCCCAAGTTCTTTTGAAGACACATTAAATTTCTGTATAAATCTGTTGTAGTTTGCTGTTATTTAGATATCTTTCGCTAAGGCCAGTTTTATCTAGTTAACCTTAATTCTGGCCAAAAATTCATATTCTTTATTTTGGATGGATTCCTTAGGGTTACTAAGGAAGGGGATTTCTCTCCTTAAAGAGATGGTATGAAGGATGCTAGTGTATAAGCAGTACTCCTCCCAAACAGTTAGATTATGTCTTATATTTTCTTTCATCTCTTGAAGGTTCCAGGGAAAAAGAAGTACAAGATCTTACCCAGATTAAGAAGCAACTACAGTGGGTCTTGTCCAGGACTTTCAGAAAAGAAAAAGCCATATTTCCTAGGGTTGAGCAAATTAATCAAGTAGCAAACACCTGGCTATGAGAATTTAGCGTACAAATAAAGGATACCTTTGGATGTAAATGTTATAATTGAGTTTTTAAAAAAAATGTTTCTCAGCTTGTCTCTTTTAAAAAGAGTATGGTGAAAATAAGAAACAGATTTGGAATCCACTGAATAGCACCTGTACTTGGAAATCATACATTTAGATATTTTCTCTGTAAGTGGGCTTTTTTTTTTTTGAAAAAAGGAGCGATTTCAGACTTTTGTGGGATCTTCTAAAATACATATTGTTTATTTTGATTTGACACTGATAGAATTAGTATCCCGCAGGAAAGAATTGAGGCTGTTGGTTTTTCCATGTTATGTTCTTTGAATTTCCCTGATTTGAGGATTGAGTTATTCCAGAGAGAACTTTTCTCCTCTTCCTTGTTATTTTTTTTCTAAAATTAGATGAAACATCTGTGTTTTGGCTTGTGGGCATGATTTGCTGTCTGTTATCCTTTTGGTCTTAGTATATTTGGGGGAAGGACAAAGAACATGTGTGTGTTTTGAAGAGGAATATATTAGTTTCTCTGCTTTTCCTGTTCATCATGGCCGATCTTGAAGATTAGAAGAACAAAATGATTTATTTATCTATTATGCTTGTGCTTGAGATTTCAAACCAAACCATGGCTGTGTTGGCCACTGAGATGATGGAGAAAACAGATGAGTGTAAAGTGTAAAACTAGTCATCATGTATTCAGATGGCTAATTGAGGAGGTTTATGTTAGTTTAAGAAAGATTTCCTATCAGGTATGGGAGAAAGGGAAAGGAGGGTGGAAAGTGAATGAATTTGACCCAGTGTCACTACAGATGTTTTAGAAACCAGAAAAAATTTGTTTTGGTCAGAATTTTGTATTCTGTAGGGGTATGTTCTAGTAATGTTTGTTTTTTAAAAAGGAAGGCAGCATAAATTTGGAATTTAATAAACAAGATGTTTAATTTAATGATTCTATGAATCATTAGCAAAAATGGAGATAGCTCGAAGACTGCATATAGTGATGTTAGTGTGTCAGAAGTTGGGTTATTATTTATTAAAGGTGTCCTTCTTGAACTGGTCCAGAATATATGAGCTGTATGGCATATTGTGGGTCAGCATGATTGAACAGTGAAAGTCTATGTCCAATGGGTTGGGAGGTAGGAGTATATTATAATGGTGGATTGAATGAGTGATCTAAAATCATCATAGAACAGTACAATGATAACAGTTCTCGAGGGTCAAAGATATGCCACTTTGAGTGTTTTGCAATCATTTTCTCATTTACTTCTCATGTCGACCCTCTGAGGTGGCTATTCTTATTATCCCATGTTACAGCTGAGAGAGCTGAGGTCTAAGCTGATAAAAGTGTTAAGGGGCAGAGCCAAAGAATGCCTTCGGGTGGTCTGGCTCCAGAGTCTTTGTCCCGTTATAATTCTAAGTTCCCGTTTTCTGTGTGCTCTTTTATTTTTTTTAGAGACAGAGTCTCTCTGTGTTGCCAAGGTTGGTCTCAAATTCCTGGGCTCTATCAATCCCCTGGAGTAGCTGGGATGACAGATGCGAGCCTGGCCAGTCTGCTCTTTTAAAGACACAGAACTTTGAAAATCCCTTGAGGATTAATCTGTTCTGTCTTTATGTATCTACACATATGGTAGATACATGGTGTGGTAAAATCCTAACACCCATGCAGCTGTTGCCTAATTTCAAGTCCAAGTTAGACGGCTTCTCTGTGGTACCCAGTTTCCTCCTGAGTCTATGTTCCTGCTCTGTATATAGGGCTCCAGGCTTCCCTGCCAGAGAGGGGAGACCTCCTGAACATGTGGAGTCTAAGCTATTCCTTACAGCTCTTTTAAACCTCTTAACAGCTACCTGTTTTAATTACATATTTGTTGTATGTGCTTTAAGCAAATGTATTCCTATAAAGTTTTGTGTAAATGAAATAATGAATTGTAATTTTTTACTGTCCTGGGAAAGCTTCCTATTTAAAGGATCCCAATAGTGATGTCTTTTGTAAAGAGAAGAATCTTTTTATAAAACAAATGTTTGTTTTCTACATTGTACTAATAAAATATGGATTTTTCACACATGACTTTTATGTAAACGTGGGTCCTGCTAAATACACATTTGTTATAAATATGCCAAAATGAAATGTGACCTCATATTGTGGTTCATATTACTAATAAAAAAGGATTGTATAATAGTTTTTTTCTTGAGTAAATATCATTTGTCAAATTTGCACTAAAATGTACATTAGTAGACTATCTACAGTAAGAATAATATTCTTTTAGGCAGTAGGTTGAGGTTCACCATATAGCATAATTCTTTATTCTCTTTGTGTTGTAAAAGTCATTAGGTAAATGCTAGTGTTCTGCTGTTTAAGTGTTAAAAATCAGTGTTTTATGTGATTCTGAAATAAATTCTCTGAAAATAAAAGATAAATTTTAGAGAGATAACTTATTTAAAAACTGTTATAGTTGAAAACGTAACGGTTTTTGGAAACAGTTTTGGAAAACATATTTTCAGGTAGGCCTGGGTAAAATATTTATTTCCTGTACTTATTATAATGTCATGCTAATGAGGCCTTGATCCCAGATTCTTTGTAATCTGTGTTCTGTCCCTAAACACTTGACAGTGACTACTCTGTAACCTCATTAATAGGACCAGTGGCCTCATTTAGATCATTATTCTTTTCCAGCCTCTTCAGCTATTGACCAACCAGTTCTCCCCTGGTTTTTGTGGTCTGGTGCACTCTCAGGTCTCCGACTTTACCTGTTTTGTTTTGCTGTTCATTTTCCTCTCTCCATGCCTTTAATGTTCATGCTTTGAGAAAATCCTATACTTGGCTTTTTGCTCTACTCACTCTGTTCTTAGTTATAGTAATTGTATCAGCTCGTGGTTCCAACTGTCATCTTTATGTAGATTTTTCCAAAATTTCTTTCCGTGTCATCTTGACCAGCATTTCCAAACTAATGCTCTGTAGGTACCTTAAAATTTCACATAGTCCCCATCAAATCCATCTCCTTTCAGAAACTTGTATCTTCTTCTGTTTCCTGTGTGGCACCACTGTTACTCTAGAGGGTTCCAGCTCAGAACCCTCATTCACCTATTCCCCTCTTCACTTGCCAGTTTCTGTTAGTTGCCAAACCATATTCTGTCTCTGGGAGGCCTCCTTCACTTTCTACCCCCCTCACCTAGTGCAGGCCTCATTACTTTACCTTCTAGATATGTCTCCCTATATTTGGCCCTTACCTGCAACATACAGCTCAGCCCGTGCATTGCCATGGGAGTTATGTTTCATAGTAGAACTAATTGCAATATTCTCTTGCTCAATAAGAATCCCTAGTGGCCCTTCATTGATACATTTTAGGATCCAAACTCTTATTGTGGGATGTGAAACTCTCGTAACCTAATCCTGGCCTGTTTTTTCACTACAGCCCTACCATTCTACTATGCTCTAGCCCATTGACTTCTTCCTTGGACATATCCCCATTCTCCTATCTCCTTACTCTTGCTCAAACAGACCCTTGGTCTGGAATGTACTTTCCTTTAGTCAGTCTTACTCATCTTTCAGGACTGAATTAAATCTTTCAAAGTAGCCTTCCTAAATTTATTATTTGGAATTATACCTGTATTATAATGTCCATCACAGGTTACATAATGTATGTGTATCTTCTCATTCTCTCCCACTCTTACTAGATTGTGAATGACTAGAGGGTATGAACTGCCTAACAAGAGGCTTTGTAAGGTTTTCTGTAGATCAGTAGATCTCAGGTCTCAGAACTCTTTTAAACTCTTAAAAATTTAAACTCTTAAGGATTCCATAAAGATTTTGTTTATGTGTGTTATTTCTATCAATATTTACTGTATTAGAAATGTTAAAGTTATTTAATTCATTTAAAATGTCAATAATAAATGCATATTAACAGAAATAACATTTCATGAAAAATAACCATTTCCAAAACGAAAATTAGAAGAGTGATACTATTTTACATTGCTGCAGATTTCTTTAATGTGTAACAATAGAAGACAACTGGATTGTCATATTTGCTTATTCATTCAGTTTATTGCAGTGTTTTATTTTGGTTGGAGTACTATATATGAAGAAAACATGGCCTCACACAGATATGTTGTTGGGAAAGGGAGAAGTATTTATTTAACTATTTCAGATAATTTTATATGTATTCTTTGTTGATCTTTCACCAAAACTCAGCAAGTGGTAATTTCTTAAAGTTCCAGTGAGGAATCTTAAACGATACCAGTGAACTTTTTGTACTCTGTTACATTACAATTCATCGGTCTGTTTCGCTCTTTGAATGGATCTTTTACCCATGCATGATTTTATAATGTGATATATTTGTCATTTGGAACATACTGTTCCACTGAGTTATGCAGATCTTCCAAATTTATGTAGTATTTAAAAATCATACTCTGATCTTATCAGAAACATCTTTAATTGTTGAAAGGCCATTATACTTATGGTGGCAGATTTTAAGTTCAACTTTCGTACTTTTCACTTGAAAGTTCAAATTTTATCCTTGCCAGCAGATATTGTCAGTTACTTTCCTTGAAGGTAACACAGGCTTCACTCAAACCAAAGACAACAAAAAACCTCTGCCAAATAAGTCTGCCAAATACCCAAGTTCGAATAGCTATCGTTTGTCAGTTCTTTCCAGTAAAAATAGTGTTTTATGAAAACAACAACAAAAAAACCCTAGCAGTTTCTAAAGATCACAACTCAAAATATTCACAAGAGTGTTTTCCGTGAAGCAGCCATTTACCTTTAAACAGTACAAGTGTTTAATATGTACTTCCCATTTTATCACACAGAATATTAAAAAGATGTGTATTTGAAGATCAAGATGTAGTAACATTAATAATTTTTACTGCCTCATTAAGGTCATTCTTGAATGAAACAGCATTTTTCATTGCTCTAAGTACAGTTGACAACTGTCAGGGTTTGGTGCCACTGCTTTGATACTAGCTAACACTCTAGAAGTTTTGCCTGTCATTGCTTCTGCATCCTTAGTGCAAATGAAAGCACAGTGAAAAAGGCATATGTCTTAGTATTATGAAAATAGTGTGACCTTGTTGACTCTCTGAAAGGGTCTCAGGAATCTCCAGGGGTCCACTGACCACAGGTGTAGAGAACTGCTGATATAGATAATTGTCCTATCAAGTTGTAAATGTGTTCAGGTTTCATGTAGACTAGACATGTAGAAGCCTAGAATGTTAGAACTGGACGTGAATCCAGAGTTAATTTAACTACAACTCCTTATTAAGAGTTGAGGAAACTGATGTTTAGAGAGGTTAAGAGACTGAAGGAAGGTTATTCAACTAAATTAGTGGCAGAAGTAAAAGATAATTCATAAGACTCTTAGTTTAGAGTTCATTTTTTTCTGTTAGTATTGCGCAGTTAAAAAGTTTAGAAGTAATTTCAGACACATAAAGCTATGACTAGAAAGTAGGTATTTCTTTTTGTGCTATAATATGGATACTGTCAAATAAAATAAAGGGTAGAGATTTTTGAACTCTGTTACCCAGAACTCTACGATCAGCTTTCATCTATGTTTTTCACTTCTTTTTTTCATTCACTTGATATAAAATTGCTTGCTGTGGTCAGATAGATAATTAAGTGAGAAATTGAGATAATTTGGCATTTAATGCATAGTCATTGCCTTAAAAAGCCTCAAAATAT